CTTAACACAGAGTATAAGTTTTGTTAATTAAGCTGCTGCTGGTGCTGATGGTAACAGATGACATTTATTGAGCAAGGCTCTCAGTCCAACAATCCTGGAGGAACCTGGCTTACAAGCAGATCTTTCTCCTCTTGAGCCTTCGGATGAGACTTTAACCCTGGCTGACACCTTGATTGTAGGCTCATGGGATGTTGCTAAGCAGTGCTCAGATTCCTGACCCCTGACAATAAATGTGTGCTGTTTTTAAAGCTAAGTTTTGGAGTAATTACATGGTTATGCTGCAATACATAACTAATATGAAGCCAGGAGTTCACAACCATTTTTACTACCATGGATCTCGTTAATTATGACTTATCCTCTATAAACCTCTAGATCTGAAAAATTCTATTGAACAAACCACATTCATTGAGCAAAAATTTATTTTCTTTCCCACTTCTTAAAATTCATCATAACTATATCTAATTAGGTGTGCAGTAAAATCAGTTCCTTGATATGCTCATGACATCACCAACAGCCAAAGAATTGGAGGGAAAGGCACCAAACGAAGTTCAGATATGTCTTACCCAAAGCAAAGAAGAGTGATTTTTCTTCTAATGCCTTCTGCAGGGCCTGAGTGTGTGATGATTTCTGAATGAGGTTTTAAAATATTGAAAATAAATTACCAGTGAACTGTGCTCAGAGCTTTATCTAAATTGTCTTATTTCATTCTCATAACAGCCCTTCGATAGATGCTATTATTATGCCCACTTGGATTCAGACATGGTTCCTTGAACTCCAGAGGTCCTACTCTTATCCAAAAGATTGCATGGCCTCTTAGAGAGGGAAAGTGACTTTTGCAAGGCATACAAAATTAAGGCATACTAAGTTAAAATTCCTAGCTTCCTGTCTGCTTGCACCAGAGGCCTCTTCCAGCCCTGCTTTCTTTCCACCTCACAGACACTAAAGCATTCTGAAGGTCAAGTCTGTTTTTTTGGAGGACAGACTTGAAGGACATTAAGGACAGAAGCAACAACTGAGGCAGCATCAGACCGAGTTCAATGTCTCCAGGTCAGTGACACATAGTAGGAATGGATATTGACCAGTGGATACTACCTGATCCAGAGTATATTTTTCCCCAGACTTAACTGTATCTTCTTGGAACAATTTTGGAATGCATTACGGTTTCCAATTATTTACCGCAAAGGAAGCAAGCACAGATATAGATCATGCAAGAATGAAATGGATTGTTGTGATAGGGTTGGCTTGGATCATACAAATCTGGGTTTCAATTCCGACCCTGCTATTCACTACATGTAAAATCTTGGATGAGTCATTTCACCTCTCTGAGCCTTATTTCCTGCCTGCCTTCTGTTAGCATTAAATTTGAGTTCTCAGGTCGAAACCTGCCTTAATATGGTTCCACCAGGGAGGGGTTCTGAGAGAAGAATTTGAGGGCAAGGAGTTTATTTGGGAAAGGAAGGGAACACTGGTTGGTGTTGGGGAGGTGAAACGGGAAGAAAACCAGCTAATAAAGGATGATTTATCACGTCAGCTATCGATATGAGTGACTACAGTTTAACGCTGCAAGGAAACTGGGAGAATTATCCCACCCAAGTGGGCATGGAGCTGGGGTGTTTTCCCCAGCTCAAAAATGGGAATGATGCCTCTTCCTCAGAGCACTGATGAAAGGAGAAAATGAGGCAAGGCACATACAGTGCCTAACCTAGTACCTGGCACATAATAAAAACTCAATAATTAATACCAGAAGGAGTTGTTGCTATTATTATCATTATGATGATTATCATCTTTCAAGGCTGAGAATGTCTGAATTGATAAGGAAAACTCATTTCAGTTTTTAGGTGATGAATGTATTTCTAATGGGATGGATTTTTTAAATAAAAGAAACTGAAAATTTCTGGGACACTGAGGTCCTTGTAATTGGGATCTTCTAAGCACTGGGCTGGGGGGAGCTTATTTTGAACGGAAGGACGTGATTATTAACTGTTTCCAACATGCCTTTAAATAATCCCCAGACAAGTCTGACAAGGGCTTCCTGAATCTCTGACATCTGCCTTTCTCCTTCGGGAGGGAAGGAGAACTGGAGACATCACTGGGATACATCCTAGCGTCTGACTGGCTTCATTCCAGGGAGTAGTGAGGACATTTAATATAATTGCTAAAAAAAGAAAAAAATCATACAACATGGCATGTGGTCAAGAGCTTGAGTTTGCATCGCAAAGATCTGGGTTTCAATCAGCCCTGTCAGTAACACAACTGACTTGTTGTGTTACTTTGTGCCAATTTAATCTCTCTGAGCCTCAGTTTCCTCTGGGAGTGGTGGATAATAAAGTGCTCTTTCCTACGGTTATCATAAGGATTCGCTGAAATAATAATTATGATAACAAAAGCTAACTCTTAAGTGTTTACTAACAGTTAATTAATGTGTTTAATCGATTATTTTATTTCTCACAACAGCCAATAATAAAGATGCTATTATTGTCCCTATTTTTAAAAGATGAGAAAATAGAAGTATGAAGAAAATAGGTAAGTAGCTCTAAGTCCTACGAATCCATGAATGCTTAACCTAGACCTACAGACTGTCAAGGGGATCCATGGATAGAATCCAGTGGGTTTGGGAACTTGGATGGTACAAAATAACATCTTTATGTTCACTAGTCTCTAAATGAAACGACGTCACCAATAGAAGCACAGATATTGTTGCATCAAACTGTAGTGGACGCAGAGAGCTCAAAGAATTGCTTGTGCTCAGCACCACATTGAAACCTGTCATTAGGTCTTGTTCTTTAACGCATGAGTTAAAAATCACATATATTACTATATCACAAATGTGGATTTTAAAAATATTTTCATCACTGTATTTCAAGATAATAGGTTTGTTTTGTAATCCTATGCAGTTTATTCTATGCATTTAAAGTCAATATTTTGAGAAAGGATCCATAGGTTTTACCAGACCACCAAGGGAGTCCATGGCTCAAAAAAAGCTAAGAACCTCCAAGCTAGTCCATAGATGTTAGAGCAACGGAAAACCCTTAACATAAAGCCAGGTACATAGCAAGTGTTCAGCACACAAAAGCCATTACCATAGTGATTATTATTACACCCAGCAAAATCCTGTTTATCCAGGAGCAAACTTTTGGAAGTAAGAAGGGAGTCAATCCTGTTGACTATACCAAATGGTACAGTGATGGGAGGGGGACCACTCACTCAAGCAAGGGAGCAGGATTGGAGATTATCTATCCCAGCCTCCTCCTTCTTGGGGGAAGAAACAGAGTCCCAAAGAGGGCTATTTTCAGGGCCCAGGGCACATGGCAAATTAGCGTTGGAATCAATACCAGCAACCAGTTCTTCTAGAGTCAGTCCTCTGCCCATCAGAGGACACGACCTTTTGACATTGGACATGAAACTAAAAGATGAAGTTCCCTCTCTTTGGAAGCACACACCTTCATCTCATTTCCTTCTGCATCCCAAGGTCCACAGGAAGAGCTCACAGATATGGGATGATCAGGGAACTGGCATCATGCAAACGCCTCTCGGGGGTGGTCCACTGCGAGGAGGCAGTATCTCTTACAAACACTGAATCCTGGGCCCGCATTCAGACCTATGGAGCTCGGGGATCAGCATCTTTATCAAATTTCCCCACTGACTCACAGGCTCATGCAAGTGAGAACAACTGTACAGTAGTTAAAGTACGAGCTCTGGAGTTCGAATCCCAGTTCTACCACTTAACGGTTGAATCACTTTGGGCAAAATTACTCACGTTTTCGATACATCTCTCACCGCCAAAGCTAACAGTGCCTACCTTATACAGTTGTGATGAACAAACGCGACCGTCACATCAAGTCTTCAACAGTGTTTGGCACGTCGTGAGAGCTCTACAAATATAATTGATAAGGTGGTTGTTGTTGTTGTCGATGACTTGTAACCAAGCAGACAGCTTCACTAATGGAAGAGTCTGTCACTGCCCCCCAGCCCCCAAGAGGCATGAGTCTCTATCCTATTGAAGCATCCACAGGGCTGTGATGTGTGCTGCTCGGTAACTCCCCTGATCTGAACGGTTCCTGAGTACTGGAAAAGCATCCTCTACCATCCAGACGTCTCTGATGACCATAACTACCCCTGCTTTGTTCTGGTTTCTCTCTTCGAAATCTCTCCACCCTTGCATCTCTGTGCCTGGGGCTTTCTTTGCCACCGTGGAAATCCCTCTGTCCTTGCACGTGATGGCCTGGGGCTGGCTAAACATTAACACCTCTTGAAAGCAATGCTCAATATGATGTCTGATGGGAGTTGGTGGGTAAACACCCCAGCTCCATGCCCACTTGGGTGGGATAATTCTCCCAGTTTCCTTGCAGCGTTAAACTGTAGTCACTCATATCGATAGCTGACGTGATAAATCATCCTTTATTAGCTGGTTTTCTTCCCGTTTCACCTCCCCAACACCAACCAGTGTTCCCTTCCTTTCCCAAATAAACTCCTTGCCCTCAAATTCTTCTCTCAGAACCCCTCCCTGGTGGAACCATATTAAGGCAGGTTTCGACCTGAGAACTCAAATTTAATGCTAACAGAAGGCAGGCAGGAAATAAAATTTAATAAACAGTGGAAGAATCCAATCTCCCATACTTCCCATATTTGTGTCTTTTACAAACCTGGTCACTGGTAAAAACAGAAGTACAAATCTCAGCAAGAATCTTGACCATTAAGGTTAGATTTAGTTATGACCAGGGAGACCGAGCCATGATATATATTTTAAGGCAGGAGATGAATTAACAGACATGACACAAGACTCTTACCAAGAACCTTTCAAACAAAAATGTCTCCTGGAAAATTTGTTGCTATTAACTAAAATTTTCCTTTACCTGTAATGATTTCTCGTACCCTCAGAATATTAAGGATTTAGCTCCCTATGCTAACACTGGTGCTCCCTGGTGAAAACTCAGATTAGGATGATACATGGTAACCCTAGAAAGATACATGGTAACCCCAACAGCATCACATATAATCAGTTTTATTGCCAGGTAAGAAATTCATATTAATATAGTGAATACATATGTTTACAAATAAACATTCTTAGAAAACAAACAAATGTGTTTTTTTCTTCATTGTAGGAAGTATTATTGGTATCATAAACTCTGCAGTTGTTGACAAGTATTAACACAGGTTTACTTGCAGAACATATGGTTACTAAAATATTCGCACATAAAATATGCTCCATTTACACACAAAAAAACTGGGGGGGAGTTAGATGGAAATGCCAGGCGGAGCCCAAGGCCGACGGAGGCTGAGACGCTCTGGGAGGGCAAAGGGAAGTCAGACTCTGGCCCTGTTGGGTTGGAAGTTGCGGGGTAGCTAAAGGTAAGAAGAGGCTACTGCCAGGGCAGGAGATGGGGAGGGGATAATCTCCCTGCTTTGTTCTGGTTTCTCGCTTCTAAGTCTCCCCACTCTAGCTAGAGGATCCTTGTTGATACATGGCAGTCACAGTTCTACAGGTCATGATAACCTTTCAGTATCATGAGGTCTGTCCACACCTCCCTAGAAGAAGCCAGAGAATAAACTTCCCTGTCCAAACTCCCTCCCTTCCCCCGCTTCAGTTCAGCTCCCAAAGCCAACTGGAAGGTAACGAGGCTAAGTACTGCTCTTCTTGGGCTCTCACCACTGTTACTTCTTATGGACCAAGCTGCAACTTCACTGCCGAAATTATAGCTGCAGACCTCCAAGTTACAAAATTCACTGGGTGCGGTTTACTCAGAAGAGAAGGAACACGACGAATAAATCCTGTAGATTCAGAGACCGAGAAAGGTCCTTCATCAGGGCTGGGATAAGGGGGTTGAGGGAAAGGAGCAGAAAGGAGCTAAAAGGGAGACTAGAATGATAGAACTTTGGAGCTGGAGGGAACCTCACCAAACAAGCCAATCCACTATTTCCTGAAGTATGCGCTGTGCACCACTAGTGAACGCAAGATGATTTTTAGTAGTACATGGATGGAGCACTAACTACCACTGAGTCACATAGGAAACGATTCCCTTTTCACTTGTGTCAGCCCATTTGAGTACTTCAAGGAGAAAGTCTCCAATGGGTGCCGGTATATCTTTAACAACTCTTGAATGTCTGCTAATCTGTTTTTAATCAAGAAAAGGGGAGAGGGAGAGAGAAAAGAAGGAAGGGAAGAGAAAGAAGGGGAGCAAACGCCAGGCTCCAGGTTCAAACCCTTCTGCGGGTAATAGCCTGTAGCTAGAACATAACAATCGCTGCGCTGTTGCCTTTGTCCTTATTTTACACTTATTTTCTATTCAGGGTGACTGATATTGGTTTTCTGTTTGTGATACTGACAGATAGTTTTCCTTTCAAAAGTTAAATGTATTAAAAATGTATCAATTTAGGTACAAATATTGTGATAGGGATACACAAAGATGCCAAAAGTGTGCGGCAGGTACACAGATAACTAACATCAAGGAAACACTGACCAAGCCCACTAGTCATTACTCCACAGTGGGTAGCACTGGGGTTTCAGCCAAGAGGCTGAGAAAGCAGGCACTAAACCTCCCAGCTCTGCCTCACCCAGCACAGAGCCTCACATTCGCCAGGATCTGACAGAGGGTCTCCTGGGCACGATTTCTTTTCTTTTTTTTTAATGGGCAGAGGTTTTGCTATTTCAAAAATCTTGAAAAGCTTGATCTCGCCCCAATTCCCCATGTTTCAAGTGGAAGACTAAAGCCCAGAGAGATAAAATGCACTGTCAATGTCCCCACATCAGCTGGGAGTAAAGAAGAGAATAAACAGCTGGTTTCCCCAATCCCATGATGTCAGAGAGATGGGGAAGCAGAACGCTGATGTCCAGCATTCCAGGAAGGGTCTTGTTCAGACCACGTTCAGTTTCTGACATCAGAAGAGCTGGGGGTCTCTCCAAGGTTCCTGTTAATTAGCTAAGCCATTCAAGGGACTGCTTGAAAACTTCTCACCTTAAATGAAAATCTCTTCTCCGTCAACCTCTCTCTTTGGGCTTCCACTAAACAAATCAGACTATTAGGAAAACTGTCTTTATCGGGACACCCATTAGCTATGAGAATCCATCTGAACAACCACCCCGGGGTATCGTGGATGGGAAATGAACGCATTGCAGTATCTGGGGAAGTGGTTTGGAGGGATCGTTTGTCTATCTACCTATCCTGGAAATGATGGGACCAGGAATGCTTGCGTTCCACGCTAGGTTTGGGGAGCTTGGGGTGGGACTCGGGGAGTTTTGACAGTGTGCGGGGGAGGGAGGTCTTGGTCTTTGCAAGTTGCAGCATTCCCCCTCAGAGTGTGGGATCGGGTGGGCTCACCAACAAACAGAGGACGGAAACACCTTCTACTACTGCAGAAAGACAGGAGGCAGGAAGGCTAAAAGAACACAGGTTGCACTTGGGAAACAAGACTGTCATTCAACAGTGACACATTGAAGGCACCACCCACGCTTATGACATTTTCAGTCCAAAGCAGTTGAAACTCGGCAGCGGTGGCAGCAACAGGCTGAAGGGGAAGGGAGTCGGGGATAGACAGTTAATAGAGGACTGGTTTCTGTCTCTGTTTCTTGGCTCGGAGGCGGGGGGACAACGCCAGAAATCGGAGGCTCTGGGTCCCCTTCTCACCTCTTATCGACATTTCAACTGTGAATTTTGTTTGTTTGTTCTTGACGACGTTGTTGAATTCCTAAGTCTTGAAGACGTTGGACAAAAGTTACTTTGCTGTTCTTGTCTGTTTTGTAGTGGGATTCTATTTTATTTTCCTTTTTTTAAAAAATAGTTATTTAAGACGCTCTGGACCCTCTCCCTGCCATAAAAGCCTACCCCTCCCATTTCCACAGTCTTTATGGGAGTTGTCTAAAAAAGTTCTTTCTTTCCCATCACTGTCAGCGGGTTCAGGGTCTATTTATTTTTTGTGAGTTTGAGTGTGTGTTGTTTTTGCTTCCAACCTTGATGATGTAAGAAGTATATAAATAGCATGGTGGGGGGGGGGTCCAGTTACTGTCTCACGCTCATCACAATTTTATGTCCACATCACTACTTCCTGGGATTAGAAAATGCTTATCAAGTGCACCAGCGACCCCTCTTTTCTACCCCACCTTCCATCCTTTCTGGCTCTTTCACCCAGAAACAGACAATGCATGGTCAATGGTATATGTGCTCAAATGGACAATTTCTCTAAATTGTGCTACTTTTTTTTTTCATCATGGATTTGTTTCAAGTCAGGAGGAAAAGAAAAATCAGCCCCACGGTTTAGGCATGTGAGTTGGCCACCTCGACCCTGAAGTCGAAAGCGGGTGCCTCAGTTTCCCCTTGGCTGTATTGCTGACCGTCCACGTTCCGGTCTTGCTCAGCTGCCCGCCGACACGTGTTAGGCATGACACAGGAAAAGCGTGATTCCATGTCACCAGTAGGTTTGTCGTCGGTCGGTGTGGAGGGTGAACGTGTGGGTGGGTGTGCGGGCGAGGGACAGGGAGGGTGTGTGTTGGGGTATTTTTTGCCTCTCTCAGTTGAGTGTGGTCTCCAGGATGTCCCCTGTAGCGACAGCTCAGACAGTCACTTCCGTTTTGCTGTTGGTGATGAAGTATGGCTGCGGGGGTGGGTAGTGCTGGGTGCGAGTTCCCAAGGGGTCGCTGGAGCTGGACTCAGCCGTGCCCAGCTTGCCCTTGTTCCCATAAGCTTGCTGCCGCCGAAGAGACTGATCCTTGGGGTCCCAGCTCTTAAAGTTGGCGGTGGAATTGTAGGCCAGGGGGTGGGAGGGCGTCTTGTTGGTGCGGGACTTCTGTCCGTTCTGCTTGGCGGGGCCATGCTCAGGACTGAAGGCCCGCGGCTCATCCTCCACTCTTACGGGATGCAGAGGCAAGTTCCCCTTGGCGGCCAGCTCGGCCAGGTGCCGTCGCTTGGAGTAGAAGTCATCATTTACCTTGTCGGCTGTACGATGCGACAGGTAGGTGGACGAAGGGGGGAGGAGAGAGCAGAGAGAGGGAGAGAGAGGAGAGAGAGAAAGACAGTTAGGGATTAGCAGGTCAACCCAAGAACAGCATCTCAGTGGGCCAACAGTCCAAACGAGACACACACTAGAAACTCCACCCGGAGCAGACAGAAGGAAGGAAGACAGGGTCATGTGTTTTCCACCAACAAGAGGAGGACCAAGAAGGCGAGGGCATCCACAAGGGAATCTCTAGTTCCCCCCAAATCCTTCTTCCTTCACAATCACACCTAGCACTCTGCCACCCTTGCCTTTCTTATAAAATGCAAGTGTTGTTCTTTCTTCGTTATGAAAATGATGCTTCTCATTAGAGAAAATATCGAACACATTGAGAAATATTCGTATCTATCAGCTACCGCCCAACACAGTCGATATCAATACTTGGGTGTATTTTCTCCTGGTTTTCTCAATAAAGAGTTTCATTTGGAATTTGTGTTAGTGCTTTTGTTTTTGCTTTTAGCAGTTAAGCAGACCTGTGTTCAAATCCCACTTCTGCCACCTACTAGCAGTGTAACTTTGGTAAATAACTTTTATTACCAACAGCTTCTGCATCAGGAAAGTGGTTACAATAAAAAAGGATATTTCATAAGGTTGTTTAGAGGGTTAAGTGATGCCATACGTAATGTGCTTAGATTAGCCACCACCATTATCATCATTATTATAAATAACTGTAATTTCTCATGCAACATTCTAGCAAGCACTTCTTCATGTTGTTATAAATCACTAGCAAACAGCATTCTAATACCTACATAATATTTCAGTGAGCAAAACTGTGAAAATTAATCATTCATCCTATGGATGACCATTCAAGCTGTGCCAATATTTTGCTAATATAAATCAATCTGAAATGAGAATTTTTTAGACTAAAGCTCTCTTAGTATTTAGAATTTTGAATGTAAAATAATTCTTAAAATATTCTTTAATCTATATCAGAGGGTGGAAAACTATAGCCCATGGATCGAGCTAGCTGCCACCCATTTTCATAAATAAAGTTTTACCGGAATGCTGCCATGCCCATTCCTTCACCTGTCTGCAGTGCAACAGCAGATCTGAGTGCTTGTGACAGAGACTGCATGGCCCACATAGCCTGAAATATTTACTATCCAGCCGTGAAATAAATTATCTGAAGTGGAATTACTTGGCCAAAGGGCTGTAAACATTATTAAGGCCCTTTATACATATTGCCAACTATGCTACAAAAGAATTATACCAATTTCTGCTTCATTCACCACACTCTAAAGCACTGAATGATTCCTTTCTTTCTTTCTCTCTTTTTTGTTTTCTTTTCTCTCTCTCTCTTCCTCCCTCCCTCTCTTCCTTTCTTTCTTTCCTGCCTTCTTTCTCAATTTATTTGATAACTTTCTGAGACTTTATTTTCTCTCACAATTCTTTTATTAGAATATCCTCTACACTTTTTAAATTAATGTCTTAGCAATAAACTCTTGAACATATATCTCTCAGGAGTCCAGAAATATGTGCTGCTCTTTAATCCACACTTCCAGCATCCCATACTGTTACGTGTGTGAGATTACGTAAATTCCTGGAGGTCACTGCCCTTCCACGTTTCTTTTCTCATTCGATCCTTTCAACCACAAGAGGTGGGAAAGACAGGGATTATGACCTCTGCTTGACAGATGCGGAAACTGTCAAGCTAAGGAACATGAAATCATTTAATTGAGGTTACCCGCAGCTAGCGGCTGAGCCAAGGTAGAACCTAACTCCATTAGACATTATTTGATGCTTTTGAAAGGCCGTAGAGGGAAAGCTCTGTTTTCAGGAATGAGTGAGCACATATGCCCCCGCTTGCCCCTTCTGCATCTGTGGCAGACATCACTCATTGATCACAGAGCTCTTTCCTAGCTAGCATGGCCTTTGCTTAGATTCCTCAACACAGCACCCCTGGAAGCCACATGTTAACCTTCCAGGCTTAATACAGTTTAAGTTGGGTTTCTGTCCATGTTTAATGTAAACAACCCTGAGTAATGCAATCTTTGAAGAGAATGTCCCCCCTTCCTCGAATTCTAGAGCTGTCTGAAGATACAGAATATCAATGCCAAAAGGAACTAGGGAATAGCTACCGACATGGGAAGAGCACACATTCCCGAAATACCATGCACTCCTTAAGGTGGTATGAGTTACATTCAAGTTGGCATTAGAATCGCGTCTTCCAGAGGAAAGTTCTAGGTTTCCAATGCCATGATGTTTCAGCAGAAGGATGCTCTGACATCCCTCCTTGGACTTCAAAATTCATGTATCCGGTTACCTCCAGGACAGAGTCACTGGCATCTCCCACTCAAGGTGGCCAAGACTGAACCCATCAACATCATTCACATCTGTTCTCCAGGCTCTTCCTTCTCTCACGAGTGGGAACACCAACTCTCTAGTTACTCAAGCCAGAAACACAGGAGCAGGTGCTGATGTCACCCTCCTCTTCTCCTCAGCACAACTGCTAACCCACAGGTCCTTCCCATCATACCTACGAAATGCTTCTCTAACCTCTGCTATGCCTCCTCCTTGCTTTAAATGCTGCTCTACTTCTGCCACCAAACTGGCTCCCCTGCCTTCAGTCTCACCTCCCCCAGGCCACTGTCCACACTACAGCCAAAAGTATATTTCCTCTTTTGTTTTGTTTTGTTTTGTTACGTTTTGTTTGGCCGCACTGTTCAGCTTGCGGGATCTTAGTTCCCCAAACAAGGATGAAACCCGTGCCCCTTGCAGTGGAAGCTCAGAGTCTTAACCACTGGACTGCCATGGAAGTCTCCCAAAGGCATATTTCTAAAACTGACCATGTTACCATTTACCAAAACCTCTCCCAGCAATTTTTCTCAGTCATTTAGTCATACATCAAATAGGCACGGTCCAGGTGGTAGACATTGTAAATATAAGGACATTGGGAGAATCAGAAACAGACAAGGTCCCTGTCCTCGTGGGGTGGACATTCTATGAGGGAAGGACAGAATGCGACCAAAGAATCCCACAAATTACATAGAAGTAGAAATATAGTAAGTGCTATAAAGAACTATCCAGTCTTATGAGTATTAATAATGAGGTCTCTGAGCTGGTCGGAGAACCAGAGGAGGGAGCTGACGTGTCTCACCCCTTCATTTACATCAGATGCTCTGTTATTCATCTTTCAAGGTTAAGCTAAGGTGATGCTTTCTGATTCCCTGGCTCCCTCAGCAACCTCTGCGCTATCATAGTCCTGACTGCTCTTTTCTAGTTTTCCATTTTCACATCTATTTGCTCTCACTAAACTGCTTTCAGTGTCTTACTGAAAGTCTCACCCACCCTCATTATGTCCCCGGGCACGATCCAGAACCATTTATTCCCAAATTCCTCTTTCCAGACCATGGACGAGTCTAAGGGAAGCTCAGAGCAAGGAATGCATTGGAAGGTTCCCGTTTCTGACAAACTGAGGAAATTGATTATGAAACAGGTGCCCCGACAGGTGGGACAGGTGATGTCCTCTCAAAAAGTTCTGAAGAAAAATAGTCCCAGGGGCATTCAATTCTTGCCCTATCAGTGCAGGTATGGGAAGCAGCTCCCATTAGGAGGAATCACGGAGTCGCCCGTGGAGAACCTACAATACATCCTTCTCCACACCCAACCCTGAATTTGTCTCTTGGTGAACCTGTCATTGGGAAACCCCTGAACATAGAGAGTGTTTGGTATATGGGGCAAGGGTGGGACAGAAAAGTCTGTAGGCTTTGGAATCAGACAGACCTGAGTCTATGAGACCTTGGGAATGTCAAACTCCTTTATCTCTATTTCTTTTGCTGTAAAATGAGGATAATATAACTACTCTGAGGTTTATTGTTAAGAATAAATTATATGAGACATATAAGCTATATAACACAATTCTGAAAGAGAGTAACTAGTCACTACATATATTTTGTCTGTCTTCTGGCTTATGAAAGAGGCACTGGATTAAATCCAACACACATTTACTGAGCGCTCTGTGCCAGATATCCAGCCAAGCACAAAGGAAGCACTCATCCAAACTAACCACCCTTCCTTCCTTTCTTCCTTCCCTCTTTGCTTCCCTCCAGCTGCCATGTGTACCGAGTGCCTAGCTGTCCCTATGAGACGACACAAGAAGGGGCCTTGATACGTTTGGGATGAGGTGCCGGTTAGGGAAGGCATCCTTGAGGATGCTTAGTTGGAATCTGAAAGTGAAGAGTAACAGAAACAGCACCCAGGTGAGCGCACATGGGGTGTATTGCAAAAACAGCTGTAGTACTTTGCAGTTCCTTCCATCGAGAGGTGGAGTCTATTTCCCTATCCTATGAACATGGCCTGACCTTGTGACTGGCTTTAACCAGTAGACTGTAGCAGAAACTATGTCACGCACATCCCAAGCCTGGGCTTGTAGAAGTTCTGCAGCTTCTGTTATCAGATCTTGGAACCCTGCCTCCATATGAAAAAGGAAGCCCAGGTTAGCCCCCTGAAGGATGAGAAACATGCAGTCCAGGTGCCCATGTTCACCACAGCCAACAGCAGCCTGCTACCTGCCAGATACCCAGTGAGGCCATCCTAGACTGTGCAGCCATTAGCCCACCTGCCAGCTCATCACAGACACTAAGTAAGCCTGGCCAAGAGCAGCCAAGCCAGCCCAAACCAGAAGAACTTCCCAGCTGATCCAGAACCACAAGCCCAATAAGCAGTTGCTATGTTAAGCCACTAAGTTTTGGGATAATTTGTTACGCAGCAGTAGATAACTGATACAGAACAACATCTGCAAAAGGCCTGAGGTGGGAAGTAGCATGGTAGCTTCAAAAACTGAAAGGATATGTATGTAATAAAGTGAAGAAAACAAGGGGTCATCAGATCATCTAATGTCCTGTATGCAGGATTATATCGTTCACATCTATTTGTTTGTCTGTCCCCCCTCCACATGACTCAGAGGTGTTTTTGACAAGTGCAGAGCAGGTACAGACTTGCT